TATTTTAATCGTCTGACAGCACTAATATATTTAAATAATAATAAAATAACATATTTTGCACAATGCTTTCTTATTTTTTAGAAAAGAAAAAGTCACATACATTACCGCTTTGTGTCGGTGTTTCACATAAGATTGAAATAAAACTATTGCTGTCTGTGTTTGTAATGTGAAATGTGGAAAAGTTCAAAGGGTATGAAGACTTTTTAAAAGCCTTTGCTTTTGTCCAACCGAATTTCCCCAAATCCTCTCAAACAACAGAAAAAGTTAATGTTTCAGCTGAAGCAGGCGGCTGTTTATCACCTGCTGTTAAAAGGTCTATGTAAAAGAGCTCAATCTCATTTTCAGAAATCGAGAAATGTTTCTCGCCGGTTTTTCCATCGCTGGGGGAAGCAGTTTAGAAAAGGGCTTGAGAGCTACCATTAAAAAATAACGACCAAAAAAGGGAAGTGCTCACCTGAGGCATTTTTCAAGTAGCCATTAGAGTCCACTGTGGTGTACATGACATAAGGGCCTGGCTGATTCACACCGAAAGGCTGTTGAAACAAACACAGAAACAAACACGATCAAAAAGGGAACACGTCTGACACCATCAGCCCATCACCACTGAGCGGGAAAGTCCCGACAGAAAGCAATCAGTCTGGGTGTGTTTTTATTTTATTTCCACCTCTATAGGCTCAAAGGTAAAGGCCTGACCTCGCCGGTCGGATACAAACGAGACTGACATCTGCATATTTGTGTGTCCATGTGGATTCATGGTTAACTTGTCTCGTCTCCTTAATGTGAAAGGATGACGGGGAATAAGGAGACCTGTCGAGGTTCTCCTACGCTTTAAGTCGGCTAATCATGAGTCTGTTACATGCAGGGACGCTGCAGGAAAGACTCGGCCCTTTATGCTGTGACACGCAGCAGTTGGGTGAGAGAGGAATAGAAATGAGGTGAAAAAAAAAGGAAAAACAGACAAGGAGGGAGAGATGAGAAAACCGCTGAGGAGAAGACTTGCTGGCTGAATGCATGAAGGAGGGAGAGAGGTGTGACTAAGAAGGAGAGGGGTAGGAGAGTGAAATGGAAAGACAGAGCGAGCTGATGGATGGGAGAGGATAGGAGCTAAAGCAGCCGCAAGCTGCACTCGTCTCCTGCATTCATCATATTTTTCACTTAGACAAGCGGGCGGAAGAGTCGACAGGCAGAGAAGCAAAAACAACCAGCAGCCTCTTGTTGATGTCAAAGATAATGTGTTCTGTAAAGGACTTTTCCAGCAGTGAAAGGTTAGGAGAGGACTGGTTATGCTTGCTGATTTTGGTACGTGTCTATTTCCTTCTGTCCACCTACATGTGATAATAAACCATTAGTGCTTCCACTGTAAATAAAACTGCTTTCCTCTTTTGCAAACAGAAAGACAACTTAATGCATAATGTTGCCAAGTAAGCTAAAAATCCTGGCATCCAAAGGGCCATCTGAACAATAATTATCATTCTGTGCTGTAATCAAGCAGTAAAAACTGTCACTATCAGTCATTAATATGTAGAAGGTTAAGAGAAGAGCTACTAAATTAGCTATTTAATTACATAAAAAATTAACAGCAAGTTTTAGCCAACGTCGTTTTTTTTTTCTACGTAAAGTTATCTAACTATGCATTGATACTTTCCCCTTTTTAATAATTAAACAAATGTAAAAATAAGGCCTCTAATACCGTAAAAACGGCCAAAAAATACGTACTTAATACTTAAAAGAAGTAATTAATAAATAGAGTTGAAGATTATAACGGACAATAAATAAATACATATTTTCTACCTACATTTATTTGTTTATTGTATTTTTGGGGGCAATTAATTGCATGCTTATTTATTTATTTAGCTTTTATTTATTTATGTATTTATTTTTAAATATGGTAGAGCTGGTCCTCCATAGTCTGGAAACTGCGGTATAAAAAATGCCTAATGTATCAAAAATGATGCAAATAAATGTTCCAATTTAACTTTTACAATAGTTATGATTTTTTATTTATTTATTTAGGCTTTAAAGTGTCATGATTTGGCCTGTTTGCTCTTCCTTAATTAGTCATTCCTTTCACCTGTCGTTTTCCCTCCCTGCCTCAATTATCATTTATTCCTCTCATCTTTCCTCTTAGTTATATTCAGTTCAGCCTGAGCATTCAGTGCCAGATCATTATTTGTCTTTTGTTAGTCTGTCTGTTATTTTTATTTCATGGTTCGTGTCCTGGATCCTAGCAGCCAGTGGAAAGAGGGTTTTTGTGTTTGTCTCGTCTCCTGATCGTCCACTGTTCCTCCCCCGCGGAGTCCTCTGGGTTTTTGGCTCAATATGTGGGGAGGTTCAGTTTTTATAAAGTAAGCCTGGCTCCAGGGAGGAGACCAGTTTAAAGGTCCTGCATCAAGTTTTGGTTCCACGTCCTGTCTCTGCTACCCTCTTCCACTGAGCCTGCCCGTCTGCACCTGATCCTGTCTGCTCCTGTGCGTGACCGCCTGGTAATGCTTTCGGACCCTGTCAGACTCTGAACCCGCCTGTGGATGCCTGGAAGTCTGGATCCTGCCACCTGTTTCTGTCCCTGCCTGTTCTGGATCCCTGACCAGGATCGGCTTCCAGCATGTCCTCAGGAACTGCAGCACTTGGGGACATTCTTGGTCTGGACTGTTAAACCAGGTAAGTGACCAACTCAGATAATCGTCTGTCAGATGATTGTGGTCACTTACCTGTGTTTCTCCCACTACAGAGTGTCTGAGATTGGGCGGTGCCCCGCCCCCCCGCCTGCAGTTGCCGCGTGCTTCACATCCTAGCAGCTCCCCTTTTACTTTTGTTCATCATTTAATAAACGTTTTGAACTTTCCTACTGACTGTCTCTCCCTGAATACTGGGTCCATCTGTCCTCGTTTCATGACATAAAGGGTTAAAAGCAGAGCCACTAAAATAGAGACGAAGGTGAAGCATTGTTGGGTGACAGAAATCGATTTTCAGCTCGATCTGCCAAAACCTGTGATTGGCTGGTGGGAAACCCTGTTTTACTGCAACAGCTCATCAACACACACTGTGGGATGCTGCTTCTTTTATGAACAGCTATTCACCAGCTACTCTATTATTAATAGCATATTACAGTGTTTGTTTTCACTTAGTAAAATAATAAGATTTTCTTACATACCAGATAGAATGTCTCAGAAAAGGTTTTTCTCCAACATTGCTGCAAACATTAGCCTTTGCTGTTTTGATCTTCCATTTCAATACAAATATCTCCTCTGACCTTGGGGACTGAAGCGCTCCCTGGTTCGCTCTGAAGGAACCACCAGTCCCTTTTTTTTTTTTTGCTGCTAAATCTATTATAAATGGGATTTATTTTCCTATCCACTAAAAACAAAATAAATAAAAGATCTGCCAGAGTTTCTTTTGGAAATTTTATTCTAAATTAACTTTAGCTATATTGCTTGGAAATCTTTATAATTTTTGAATTTGAGATTTTGGAATAAACATTTGATCAACCAAAAAAAACAACTGACAAATTTCCACTTTATTTTGAAAATAAATTTGTGTATATATATATATATATAAAAAAAACATTTAGCTGTGATCTATCTTTCTAATTCTAATTCTTCTTTAATGAATCAAACCTTTAAGCTTAGATGTATTTATATTAGGGCTGAAACAATTAATCGGATTAATCGTTTATTTAATTAATCGTCAACTAATTCAGTAATCCATTAATTGTTAACTGGAGTATAGCAAATGTAAAGCCTTTAGCTGACTTGGTAACCAACTTAGAGCAGTAATTATATCAAAATTGTAAAATAAAATATATAAACATTTTGATTAAAGATAAAAAAAATGTTTTCCTCTGTCAAAAAGCCCAATCCAGAACCCCTCAGATGGAAACGTTTTAGTTTCATTTGGTTTAATCCTGTAAAAAAAATCTTTTTTGAGGAAGCTTTGGCTATCCGATTATTAATGGATTAATCGTAAAAAATAATCGTCAGATTAATCGATTTGCAAAATTATTCTAAGTTGCAGTCCTAATTCATACTATTGGCAGAATAAGGTTAAACTAATCTTTTAGTACTTCTGACTGGAAATAATATTAACCACTCCTGAATAGCAGCTAATAGAGAATCTGTGTGGGGGTTAAATATTAGGGTAATGGAAAGTAGCCCCTTCAACCTCGTTAGCAAACAGAAACCATAAAAAAACATTGGAGATTATTTTAAAAGCTAATCAGTGTTTTAAAAGTTTGATTACTGCAAAGCGTGGGCGTAGGTTTGCATAGGGACCATAGGGACAAGTCCCTACCAAAACTTTGGTTTGAATACCATGTTTATAATTTACCGTACAGCGTTGTTGCAGCAGTAGAGGAGTTCTGGAATGGGGAATATTGACAGACGAAAACATGTTTTATCTAAAATGGAAAATGTTTATTTATTTTTTACAATTTTGGTATAATTCTTGCTCTTAGTTGGTCGCTCTGTGAGCTAAAGACATCTTTTAGAGTCTCGATACTCCATAATGATCAATTGATTACTAAATTTGTTGACATTATTTCAATTATTGATTAATCCTATGAATTGTTTCAGCCATAAATACAATACATGAAATGGGTTAAACAGATTAACTACAGCCTACACTGCAAAAAATTTAAATCTAAATAAGTAATTTGTTCCTAAACTAAGTGCATTTGTTCTTGAATTGAGGAGGTAAGTGAGACACTTTGCCAATGGAACAAGACAATTTACATTTAAAATAAGAAAAAGCAACTGCATTGTCTTATTTCAAGTGCATTTTATCTAATTATCTTATTTTAAGAGTAAAAATACTCATTCCATTGGCAAATCATCCCATTTACCTGCTAAAATTAAGGTAAAATACACTTGATTTAAGGAATTTTTACTTATTTCTAGATTATTTTTGCAGTGTAGATGTAGAGCTTGTAGAGTGAAGTTAATATATTAAATGCTCAGTATCAGTTCCTCTTCTATTTCCAGTGCTCATGTAAATACAATACATGTATTTGGCGTCCCTTGAATCTATTATTTTCAAAGTGGAAAAAAGTCCTATTTCCTCATTCATCGGAGCCAGTAAAACGTCAGTTATTGATAAACAGCATCTAGTGAATGTAGTGCTTATAAAATTTGAATAAATGTAGCAAGAAATGCTGCTTTTCTTTTTAAACGATATACACCATGATTTTCATGTCAAGCATAAAAATACGAGCACGCATATTTTTGCATAGGACCAACGACATCAGACCAACAGTGTCCCTACCGAAGTTAAAATCAAACCTACGCTCTTGCTGCAAAGCCAATAAGGTTCTTCGTTTGATTATCATTATTATGAGGCTGTTAATCATTTCTAAAATCTCCATTAATTTCCAATAATGCAAATAAAGATAAGAAACATCTGTTTTTATAAACCGATTACACCAGAAGAGATGTCGCTGTCTTTTCCACACAGGACAAAACTTTTTTCCCCAGATCTGCCAGATTAAGGTAGATTAAGACGCAGCTATATCCTGCTGTTCTCCCTTTCTTCTATTTCTGAAAACTGTTTTCAAACACAAAACTGATACATTTCAAATGATTTAGATATAATCATTTGAAAAGTCTCTTATTCTAATAGGAATTGAATAAATAAATAGATTTCTCGGTCTTGCCATAAATTACCAGCCCTGCCACTGTCTGCTTTCTGTTGATTTTTTTTATTTAGATGAGGTCATATCTAAATATTTAAGGAAAGGATGAGTAAAAAATGCTTCTCCTTAATAACAGTGAATGAGGTGTTGGAACCAGTAGCCCAGTAGAGTGCTATGCACCATAAGGTGTAAGGAGAAGAATTTAATAACTAATTTACCTTAAGATCTTTAATCCTGAGATATTCAAATTAAAAATTAAGTGCATCTCTTCTTCCCCTCCGGTAATGGTGTAAGGGAGAGGGGGAACTTGTCTTAATACAGCAGGGAGTCGTCTGGAGCTTTTATAAAAGGTAAGGCTTGCTAATCAAGGCTATTTTGCTCCTTTAGCATCCATGTTGCTAATAAATGTTTGCAGGAAAAAGGTTTATGTAAATGCAACATTATTGAAAATGAAATAATTTGATTCCTACTGTATGTATTGTGACTCACATCATCAGATTTCAAGAAGAAATTTAAATTTTAATTTATAAAATGGTTTTTATTTAACATCATTGAGCAGCTTATTGACAGCATTGAGAAAAGTTTAGATTCAAAGATTTAAATTCAGATTTAAAGGTATTCCATGCAACCGGTGTTGATTTTCCAGCGAGGCTCCCCCCAGAGGGCGNGCACTGTCGTAAATATGCTCAGCTGTTCTCCTGGTTTCTCCGTCAAGCCAGGCGCGGTTGTTTTGAGCTTAGCAGACAGGCGAACGCAACGAATCACCATGTCTACTGCGGTACGTGACTATTTTGTTCCAATTTTAAGTTTGAAAATTTAGCATGTTTTCATACATTATTTGTTCTGCATGTGTCTAAATAACAAAGATTGTAGTTAGCCAAGTTGGAGTTTCACATACATTTATCCGACTCTCGGATGACACGGGCTTTCGCTGTTTTCTCGCTGGTTCTGCCATGATAACTGCACAAATATCGCCACTGCGCTAGCAGCGAGCATGCCTTTCACTGGGGGCGTGTAGCAGTTCTCGCCGTAAAGCAAGACCGACTCTGAGCCTGTGGGTGCGGGCCGAGGGCTCCTGCAATTGCAAGTACGGTATTTCCACTACAGACCACCAGGGCGGCCGAGAAAACCTTTGTTCAACCTGAAATGACTCATTTAATCATCCAAAACGTTATGGAACAGATTAATTAACTGAAAAATGTTGCATAGTGTGCCTTTAAAACATTTCATTACATCAATTTTTCAAGAATGTCTATAAATTAGTTTTAAGATCTTGAGACTCCATCTGAAACAGTTTTACCCTGCAGGAGATTTCATGTCATCTACAGAAACATAAAAGATTTCTCACCTTCACATCCTCAGGACAGGAATTAGAGCAGAGGCCGCTGAGCACTGAGGAAGAAAGAGACCAAAGTCAAACAGATGTCTTACTTTCTGCGGTTCTGCTGTTGCTGAGCTGTCAGAACGACACGCTCACACCTCCACTCTAAGCAGACCGAAAGTATCTGGCAGGAGGAAATAAATAAACAAACCCTGACCAGGTAACTGGGCTTTAATTTGACTCATATTTTCATATCAAACACGATTTATTAATCGCATGAATGCAAAGTAGACAGAGACAAGACAGGAAGAAAGTAGGGCTTAAAATAAGCCGACAGTAATAAGCAACCAATAAAAAATATGCACAAATAATTAATAAGAACATGTGCTGGGTGAGCATTTTACTTATTTGTGCATACAAGCGGAGCAGGAAGGGACAAAATGGACTGAATTGTAAATCAGTCATTAGCAGAGAGCCTTTATTAGCATACTAATGGGGTCCTGGGTCTGTGGTGGCAATAATTTGGTTGATGGAATCAAACTAAAGCTTAATAGTGTTTATTAGGCTGGACCTAGTGGGGTGTTACACAGTGCAGTCTTTCAAAGGGAACATCACAGCGCTAAACTGTGCGGACACCGGGTGAACAATGATGGAAATGGATCACCATAAATGACAACCAAATGTCAGAGGGTTAATATTTGCTAAATTATCGGGCAATTAACGCTTCAGCAAAAAGGTTAGGTGAGAAGGGAAGTTTTAAAAGCCCCCTTAGAGCTGCACAATTATTAAATCCTGTTTGTCTTGTATGATCAGAGCCTGCAGTGTCATAATTGCAATGGACTGCCGGTATGCTGCACCTTGTGGGATATTAGATTTTAGGCGACATGTAATAACACCCTGCATGGAGACAATATATTCAGCCGGTTGCCTGGACTGTCATGATCACTTGATGCCTCAACATGAAAGTTCTGATTAAGTCAGACGAAACTGGTGAAAACTCATTTATGATGGAGAACAAAGAGAAAAGGGAAAGAAAACCCGGCATATCTTTTACATTCACCATCAGTTCTGCTCTCTTTTCCCAAATATCTCTTTTCACTCGTCTAAACCCTCCCTACTAGCAGACTCGAGAGGATCTGAGCTTCTTTCTTTGCATAACAGCTCGAGTCTCGACAGATTAAACAGAAGATGTTCAACCTGAATGGGGTTAAGGTTAGGATTCTGACTGGATTGTTCTAAAACATTTATACGACATTAAAGCCCCATTCCCACTACCCTTTTGCAACCGTGCCAAGATCAGTCCGAGCAAGGTAATAGAGATAACCGCTGAGTCTAAATGGCATGCAAAACTGAACCGGAATGTGCCAGACAACCAAACCTCTGGCTCAGTTCTCAGATAACAGAGTACATGAGCAGACTGCATCCTCTCCCTAGAGTCAACCTCTGTAATCATGAAATTTCAGACGGTCATAAAAATATAGGCGTCCCTACCGTGCCATATGATTTCCTTTACACTTTAGACATACTGAAGGTTAAAAAAAAAACAACACTTTATGGAGTTTCAACCAGTCAATTAAAAGTGTCCACACCTTTATTCATGACAAATGGGGTAAAGAAGAACAAAAAAAGAGGGGGAGATAGGGGTTCTTTTGGCTTCAGTTGTTCTAAAATGGGTTTCCAAATTTTGTAATATTTTTGAGGACAGTTAATTAAATCAAATCTAATTTTTTCTCTGTGCAGGAAATTCCTGTATATTCCTTGATCCAAGATTCAAAATTAGGTGGTCTGTCAGCCTTTCACTGCTTCAGTATGCATCTTTTGGCAATCATCATGCCATAGGAGACAACTGTTGTTACATCACGACCCAATTTGTTAAGAGGGCCGTTTCTGGATCGGGTTTTATNCCTTTAAAACATTTCATTACATCAATTTTTCAAGAATGTCTATAAATTAGTTTTAAGATCTTGAGACTCCATCTGAAACAGTTTTACCCTGCAGGAGATTTCATGTCATCTACAGAAACATAAAAGATTTCTCACCTTCACATCCTCAGGACAGGAATTAGAGCAGAGGCCGCTGAGCACTGAGGAAGAAAGAGACCAAAGTCAAACAGATGTCTTACTTTCTGCGGTTCTGCTGTTGCTGAGCTGTCAGAACGACACGCTCACACCTCCACTCTAAGCAGACCGAAAGTATCTGGCAGGAGGAAATAAATAAACAAACCCTGACCAGGTAACTGGGCTTTAATTTGACTCATATTTTCATATCAAACACGATTTATTAATCGCATGAATGCAAAGTAGACAGAGACAAGACAGGAAGAAAGTAGGGCTTAAAATAAGCCGACAGTAATAAGCAACCAATAAAAAATATGCACAAATAATTAATAAGAACATGTGCTGGGTGAGCATTTTACTTATTTGTGCATACAAGCGGAGCAGGAAGGGACAAAATGGACTGAATTGTAAATCAGTCATTAGCAGAGAGCCTTTATTAGCATACTAATGGGGTCCTGGGTCTGTGGTGGCAATAATTTGGTTGATGGAATCAAACTAAAGCTTAATAGTGTTTATTAGGCTGGACCTAGTGGGGTGTTACACAGTGCAGTCTTTCAAAGGGAACATCACAGCGCTAAACTGTGCGGACACCGGGTGAACAATGATGGAAATGGATCACCATAAATGACAACCAAATGTCAGAGGGTTAATATTTGCTAAATTATCGGGCAATTAACGCTGCTGCAAAAAGGTTAGGTGAGAAGGGAAGTTTTAAAAGCCCCCTTAGAGCTGCACAATTATTAAATCCTGTTTGTCTTGTATGATCAGAGCCTGCAGTGTCATAATTGCAATGGACTGCCGGTATGCTGCACCTTGTGGGATATTAGATTTTAGGTGACATGTAATAACACCCTGCATGGAGACAATATATTCAGCCGGTTGCCTGGACTGTCATGATCACTTGATGCCTCAACATGAAAGTTCTGATTAAGTCAGACGAAACTGGTGAAAACTCATTTATGATGGAGAACAAAGAGAAAAGGGAAAGAAAACCCGGCATATCTTTTACATTCACCATCAGTTCTGCTCTCTTTTCCCAAATATCTCTTTTCACTCGTCTAAACCCTCCCTACTAGCAGACTCGAGAGGATCTGAGCTTCTTTCTTTGCATAACAGCTCGAGTCTCGACAGATTAAACAGAAGATGTTCAACCTGAATGGGGTTAAGGTTAGGATTCTGACTGGATTGTTCTAAAACATTTATACGACATTAAAGCCCCATTCCCACTACCCTTTTGCAACCGTGCCAAGATCAGTCCGAGCAAGGTAATAGAGATAACCGCTGAGTCTAAATGGCATGCAAAACTGAACCGGAATGTGCCAGACAACCAAACCTCTGGCTCAGTTCTCAGATAACAGAGTACATGAGCAGACTGCATCCTCTCCCTAGAGTCAACCTCTGTAATCATGAAATTTCAGACGGTCATAAAAATATAGGCGTCCCTACCGTGCCATATGATTTCCTTTACACTTTAGACATACTGAAGGTTAAAAAAAAAACAACACTTTATGGAGTTTCAACCAGTCAATTAAAAGTGTCCACACCTTTATTCATGACAAATGGGGTAAAGAAGAACAAAAAAAGAGGGGGAGATAGGGGTTCTTTTGGCTTCAGTTGTTCTAAAATGGGTTTCCAAATTTTGTAATATTTTTGAGGACAGTTAATTAAATCAAATCTAATTTTTTCTCTGTGCAGGAAATTCCTGTATATTCCTTGATCCAAGATTCAAAATTAGGTGGTCTGTCAGCCTTCCACTACTTCAATATGCATCTTTTGGCAATCATCATGCCATAGGAGACAACTGTTGTTACATCACGACCCAATTTGTTAAGAGGGCCGTTTCTGGATCGGGTTTTATGTTAACTTTAACGGTGCGAGAGTACCGGTCCAGAAACTTTGAATATTTGGACACAGCCAAAATTGATGTGATGCCATATGATTTCCTGAGATGATTCTGCTTAGCAGTGTGATGAACCTCAACTCCTGTCATTGTTTCCTGTGTCTGTAACCCTGATTAGACTTTTTTTTGTTGTATCTTCTTCCCAAAAGCCGACTCGGTCCAGTAAATTCACCAAAGGCCGTCTTGTTCGCCTGACTCTCTGCTAACTTCCTGATTGTTATTGGTACCGCCATGCTGATTTGCTTGTTTCCTTCTAGAGAGCAGTAGTACCAAAAATCGCCACTAGGAGGTCAGGAAATGAGTTTGGCACTGTTAACGCTCCAAGCTCGGCACGGATCGGTGTTCAGAGGCTAGTGTAAATGGGGCTTTAGATAGAGCTGTTGTTCTGTTGGAAGGTGAACCTCAGCCAAAATCGCAAACATTCTGCACCCTTCAACAGTTTCTTCCTTCCATACAGTGGCGGTTCTAGACCAAATGTACCAGGGGGGCCAGGAGGGGGCCAATGTGTTTTCATGGGGGAACAGAAAAGCATGAAATAAAAAACAGGATAGCTGCATGAAGTGAGACTTAAGTTTCATTAAAGTCTAAATGTCTTTTTAGGTGAATATACATTCAGAGTTTTGGAATTCTACATATTTATGACTTAATTTAAGTTAAAATTACAGTTTTCTATAAAATCTGAATTAGAATATAAGAAAAATTGTTAAATTCAGCTGTAAAAAAAATTTAGTATGTTATTAATTTGTTTTGAAAAAAACATTTACCAGATAATAACTGGGATCATATCTCAATACTACTGAAGCCATCACCTTATTTTTTTTTTAAATAGTTAATAAAATACAATTTGTAAAGAAAAAATGAAATAGATCCAAAGGACGTTTCAGATGCTTGTTGCAGGGAATATCATCTTTAGAATCTCTTTGAGTATTATGTTTTCAGTACAGGGGCCAGGACATCTTCTACAGGGGCCCTGGCCCCCGTCGGCCCCCGTCTAGAACCGCCTATGCTTCCATAATTCCCAAGTATTTATCTCCCTCTATCTCCACACTAACTGACAAACTTTTCTGTTTTCGCTAAAGTAAAGCACTCCCACAGCATGATGCTACCCCCACCATGCTCCATGGCAATAATGCCTGTTGGTTTGAGTTTAAATATGCAGCCATTGCTTGACTGGTACCAGTTATTGAATGCATGCAGGAATATGAATGCAAAAATGCAGAAAACTGAGACGATTATGATGCCTAGTCATCTACTACTACTTTTAGTACTACTACTTTGGAAATCACATGAATGTGGCTAGTTCTGTAAAACATGTGCAGAAGTTAAAGGGGTATGGAAATGTTTGCAAGTTGCTGGGAATGCTTTTCTCCTCTTTATAATCATAGAACACCGATTCGAGCACCAATTAAAATGTTATGGCAGATTTTAGGCTGTGCAAGCACATTTTGGTGCGAGAGCAATGTTTATGTCACACAGAGACGCTGCAGTACTGTGTTTCTGCTGCAGCTCGTTAGAGTCCAATAACAATCAGGACAATGCAGTGCCTCTCCAGCATTCATTTTCTGTAGACCGCCATGATAAAACTTTATGACAGAGTTTCTATTTCGGTGCTACTACATGTTGTAAATACTGACACACTCCTTGCGTTTTGACCCAGAAGTCTTTGCAGTTTGCAAGTTGAGTCATAGCTGTAAAGCGATTCATTGTATTTTTTATATGGCTATAAAAGTGGTTATAGAATAAAATACTCTTTTAGAGTCATTTCAAGAGTCATTTCTACAGAAATTATAGAAGCTAATATCTTCTTAAAGTTTAAATAGTAAGATTTAGAATGTATTGGAAATCCCTGTTTTGCAATTGACAGATAAATATTTACTTTAAAACCCATTAATGCAATAAATACATGAATGCAATGTAGATAATTCTCTCTATGAGGCCACCGCTGAAGCATACAAAAATGTTTGCACAAAACAGAAGGATTTGAAAACAAAATGTATGAGAATAAAAGCATTTTTTTCCATTTAGCAACTAAACAAGCAGAAAATAGATCTAAGAGGTAAAATTGATTGAATTAAATGCATGTATGAGCCTTTTACATCAAAACCATGGGAAGGTCTGGCCAGCTGCCTTGGGCTGGTCCTTGATCAATCAATATTTATCCAATCAGTTATGCAGAGTAGATACAATGTGTGTGAAAATCCTTCCATTTCACTTTCAGCTTATGGATCCTGAATGTTTCTATACAAGAGCCTGATAGTTTGTGTAACTATTCATCTCAGAATCCTGCAAGATGTCCCGCTCGCATTGGTTATTACTGAGCCTCATTAAATAAACTGCAACTGAATGGCGGTATATGTGCCCTCAAGCAATGTCATTTCTGCTCACTGCAATGTTTAATGTTTGGGGGAATGTTGGAGCTTTGAGGGAAAACCCTCCTATGGAGAGTTTGTCTGGGAGAGAAAAATGATTTCTTGATCCATTGAACTGTTTCCCAACGACATGTGAATTGGGACCTTCTTTCCTTCTGCCCCGCGACTTGTTTAGGCGGGGTAATAGAGCGAGACGGAGATAAAGTGGGTTTTTCTCACCAAACACGTCACGCCTGGAAAACCTGATAAAAGATGACACCAGTACACTACAACTCCCTCAGTTCTTTAGTTATTTATCTCATACTGTTCCAGAAGTTGCCCTGTGACAGACTGGCGACCTGTCCAGGGTGGACCCCGCCGCTCGACCATTGAAAGCTGGAGATAGACACCAGCACCCCTCGGGACCCCAGCTGGGATAAACGTGAAAGAAAATAGATGGAAGTTATTGACTTCCCCTCAATATCATCATTTCATTGCTGCTTAGACCCTTGGACGCACCAAAAAACTCCCTAAAGTTATGCTTTACTTCATGTTCTAGATAATATAAACTGGGAAATCCATTTAAGTATTTCATGGGAGGTGTTCCAAGAATTGATTGGTATTGGCTAATTTTTGGCTTGACAACCCATGACTGGGGACGGGGAGCTCATGCTCCCAATTTCCACACGTTGGTCCGACTACGATAGCACAGGAAGAGGACTTAAAGTTTCAGTATGACTGAGGTGTTCAATAATGGATGGAAGAAGCTAGTTAATAG